CTTCTCTTTCGGTACCGATTGCTTTCGACTCGGACTTGTAGTTGTGTCGATCGTTGCTGTGATAGTGTACAAGTTAGGAAGATTACTTGTACGTCTCCGATCATAGTGAATGCATGGTGGTTTAGTTCCACTCCCAGATATACCTTAGGGGAACTGGGTGAACAAAGCTCTGTGTCTTGATCGTTTTTCTTTTCCGCGAAGATAGAATCTGAAACACACAGAAGAAAACTCAAGTTAGATCACATATAGGAGTATTAAGAAGTAATCAGTTCACTAAGATTTCTTCACAGCTTCAAAATGTGACTTTTACTTTTTCAAAGTTACAGGTCAGGTGCTAGTCATCACTTGACCGGCAAGCTTGAGATTTTGACTGAAGTTAAAGATATGGAACCTGGGTTGATTATATTGGCTGATGGACATCAGAAAATATCTGTTAAAGAAGGAACAGTTAGGTTTGGGTCAAGTCTTGTGATGAATTCAGTTTTTTATGTTTAGGGAATGCTATCAGATCTGATTTCAGTTGGGTAACTAATGGATGAGAATCATTGTGTTGTGCAATTGGCTGATCACTTTCTCATTGTCCAGGACCGTATTTTGAGGACGGTGATTGGAGCGGCTAAGAGAGAAAAATGAGCATTCTGGTTTTGCAGTATGGAGATCGCCGCAGCAGCCACAACTCAAGACATCACCTCGTTAGAGCTGTGGCACAAACGGATGGGACATCCAGCTGCTAAAGTAGTTTGCTCGCTACCTGTTGTTTCTGTTTCAAGTCCTTCTGATATTCTGAATAAGGCGTGTGATGTATGCTTCCGTGCAAAACAAACCAGATCTTGTTTTCCCATTAGTCATAATAAAACAACAAAGATTTCTGAGTTGATACATTGCGACTTATGGGGTCCATACCGAAAATAATCATTTAGTGGAGCACATTATTTTTTGACCATAGTAAATGATTATTCACGTGGAGTATGGATATATCTGATAAAAGATAAAACTGAAGCACCGACTCAATTGATGAATTTTTTGTCTATGGTTACAAGGCAATTTCAGACAGCTGTTAAAACAGTTCGTAGTGGTAATGGATCCGAGTTCTTATGCTTGACCAAACACTTCCTCCGCAACGGTATAGTTCATGAAACTTCTTGTGTCGGCACACCTCAACATAATGGCAGGGTAAAGAGAAAACATCGCCACATCTTGAACATCGCACGGGATCTGCGATTCCAAGCAAATCTTCCAATCAAATTTTGGGGCGAATGCATTTTAACAGCTGGTTATTTAATTAACAAAACTCCAAGTTCGGTGATTGGTGGGATGACTCCATATGAACGAATTCATAACACTGCACCAGAGTATGCTCAATATGGGTTTTTTGGAAGCCTCTGCTATGCTCATAATCAAGCCACGAAGGGAGATAAATTTGCTTCATAGAGTCGAAAGTGTATCTTCATGGGTTATCCATATGGGCAAAAAGGATAGAGATTATTTGATCTTGAAAAACAGGAATTTTTCACGTCTTGTGATGTAGTCTTCAGCGAGAGTGAATTTCCGTATGCGAAATCTTCCATTCTAATTGACAAAGAAATTGCAGAAAAACCTCTCTGGGAACCGATGTCGAGAAACAATGGTGAAGAAGACAATGGTATAATTGTTACCAGACCAACAAATATTTCATGCCCCATGGTGACTGCAAGCCCAAATAATGATATTGGCCCCATTGTTGACAACACTATGGACCAAGAAGAAGGTTTGGGCCCAAACTCAAATGCGCCCACTCTAACTTCAACGACAAATCAGAATCAAGGTTCTTCTTCTTCGCCAACATCAAACGATGCCATCTATCCTCCAATTCAGCCATCGGTTCAGCCAGAAAGTACAGAGAATCCTAATCCTCCAATTCTGCTAGGTCGAGGTCACAGAAAACGACAACCACCTGTCAATTTGAAGAATTTTGTCACAAAAGCAGTAGCTGTAGCTCCGCTGGCATCAAATCCGTCTACATCACAAGTGTTGTATCCGATTAGTGATTATGTCACTTCTGAGAAGTTTTCGATCAAACATCAATCATTTCAAGCTTCTATTATGAATGATGCTGTGCCGAAGACTTATCAACAAGCAGTTCGGGACGAACGGTTTTGCAACGCTATGAAATATGAGGTAGATGCTCTTGAAATCAACAGAACATGGGATATAGCAGATCTACCGAAAGGGAAACAAGCAATCGGGTGTAAGTGGATTTACACAATAAAACATCGCTCTGATGGATCGATCGAACGATTTAAAGCACGATTGGTGGCTCTAGGAAACTGACAGATCGAAGGAGTAGATTATGGTGATACGTTTGCACCAGTAGCAAAGATGGGAACAGTTCGCTTGTTCTTGGATGTTGCAACAAAAAGAGGATGGGATGTACACCAAATGGATGTACAAAACGCATTTCTACATGGGGATTTAGAGGAGGAAGTCTATATGAAATTGCCACAAGGATTTCACACATCTGATTCTACCAAAGTTTGCCGGCTCCAAAAATCTCTATATGGGCTCAAGCAAGCACTACGGTGTTGGTTTGCAAAACTTGGAAACGCCTTGAAAACGTATGGCTTCGTACAATGCTTATCGGACTACTCGCTGTTCACTTACGAGAAAGGTCAGACTCAGTTACATATTCTCATATATGTTGATGATCTTGTGATTACTGGAAATAGGCCAGAGGCAGTGAAATTCTTCAAAGATTATGGGCTTGCTTGGGGTTAGACTTTTAAGACTTTTAAAGCATTTTACAGCCTTCAAATCTCTTTTTTTACCAAGCATACTTTTATATTTTTTAAGTCAAAAGTCTCAACTGCCACACTTTTTATTTTTTTTGTCATAGTTTCCAAAAGCTACGTAAGAGAAACTTTCACAAAATAAAAGTGAAAAAAAAATATATTTATTTTTTTCTCTCTTTTTTTTCTTCCTCCAAGATTATTCAAATCTATTTATAAATTTTCTATATAATTTATTCATAAAAAAATTTAATTGATTAATTATAATCTCTTTTTTCTGTTTTTTTAGATCCATTTGATATAACTTTTTTAACCATATTTTTTTTCAGAAATATCTAAAACTATTTATTAAATATAGGGTAAACTAATTCTTGGAAAAAATATTATTTGTCATTTTTAAAATAACAGTCATAAGTAAAAGCCAAAAGCAAAACCTCTTACCAAGCAAGCCCAATCTCTCCTTTTGCTTCAAAATGAAAGATTTAGGAGCTCTGAAATATTTTATTGGCATAGAAGTTGCAAGAAATTCAAGTGGAATGTATCTATGCCAAAGAAAATATGCTCTCGACATTATCTCAGATACAGGACTTCTTGGCTCCAAACCGGCTACGTTTCCATTGGAATAAAACAACAAGTTGGCTCTCTCTGAATCTTCACTTTTACAAGATCCAGCACGGTATAGAAGACTTGTCGGACGTCTTATCTATTTGGGCGTCACTAGACCAGACATGGCATATTGTGTACACGTTTGGCACAGTTTATGCAAAATCCACGAGAAGACCACTGGCAAGCAGTTTTGAGAGCAGTCCAATATCTGAAAGGAAACCCAGGTCAGGGAATTCTTCTTCGATCTGATGCTAATTTCCAAATTTCTGGGTGGTGTGATGCTGATTGGACAAGTTGCCCCATAACGACACTATCTGTAACTTGGTATTTTGTGCAACTTGGTAATTCACCAATTTCATGGAAGACTAAGAAGCAGGAAACAGTGAGTATGCCGACGGCGGAAGCTGAATACCGAGCGATAGTGTTTTTGACAAAAGAACTCATATGGCTGAGACAAATTCTTACCACTCTTGGAGTCAGACATGAGAATCCGATGTTGGTATACTGCGATAACAAGTCGGGTATTCATATCGTCACTAGTCCGATATTTCATGAAATAACGAAGCATGTTGAACTGGATTGTCATTTCATACGTGATGAAATTCTCTTGGGAACAATTGCAACTTCACATGTTATAGTGGTTCTCAATTGGCAGACATTTTTACAAAGGCTTTAGGACGTCAACAATTTGATAACTTCAAGCTCAAGTTAGGCATCAAAGACTTGTATGCTCCAACTTGAGGGGGTATTGGAGAATCAAGTCAAATCCTATTACGAAAATTACGGAGTAATTGGAGTCATATCAAACCCGAGATAACTCCTCGTATCATTCTCAATTATTGTATATCTTCTACCTTTAGGAAACTACTTTCATATAAATGTATGTACAGAGAGCTATTGTAAAACACACAGAAATCTTTTCTTCAACACCTTGTGTCTCTGTTTCTTATAATCTCCTCTCATGCATACACAAGGTGTACCGTTTTAAACTTGTGTTTAAGTTCACTCCTTATTTGTGTTAGAAGTTTTCTACGCAAACTTCAAATGTGGGACAAATATTACATCACTTGTCATTTTCTCACTTAGTCAAAGGCCCAAGTTACCCCATTCTTTCTTATTCATATTTTGTTCTTTTTTTTTTTGCCATATAACCTTGAGTCCAGGAAGCCCAATTGATATGAGACTAAAAAGTTTTTCAACATCTGTATCCATAAGCACTTGTTTAGTATTTGATCGATGACTAAATGTTGTTCATGGTAACAAAAATAGTACAGCATAACTTGTTTTAATTAGATATGTGCAATAATTTCTAAGAAGAGTTTTTATCAGGCTAAGTTCAGGAATTTAGGGCAAAACTGATCGTCATAGAATCGAAGATTTTTAATATAATGTATTTGTGTTAACTTGCATCCTAATCGAACACAGGAACCAAGCATGAAGCATCGTGACTTTTCCTTGAGCTCATCATCTCATGTAACTAAAATACCAAATCAGGACCCAAATTATAATAAAAATATACGTTTGGACTTATTCATAAATCACGATAAATACTTGCGCGTCTCATGTAATTTCGAAGAAATAACACATATCTTTCTCTCTCACGTAAACTCTCCACTATATAAAGCCTCTTCGTCTCCTCTGTTCTCGAAACAGATCATCTCTCTCTCTTTCTCAAAGCACGAAACTATGGCCTCAAAATCAATCGTCGTTTTCCTCCTCCTCGCTCTCATATCTTCCTCCGCCATAGCTCAAGCTCCGGGACCATCTCCGACAAGATCTCCTCTTCCGACCACTCCTTCAATTTCTCAGCCTCCGAGAACCGCCGCACCAACTCCTTCACGCGCTACCATTCCTCCACCGTCTGTAGCTCCCACGGAAGCTCCTACTTCTCCTCCGTCTGGCTCACCGACCTCCACTGTCGCTTCACCGCCGGCTCCTCCGACATCTCTTACCCCCGAGGGAGCTCCTTCGTTTGGTCCGACCGGATCTACTCCTGCTAACGACAACAACAACAACAACGCCGCTGCTATCTCCGCCGGATCCTTCGCCGGATTCGTTTTCGTCGCTTCTTTGTTGCTGTAATTTGGTATTTTAGATTTTTCAATTTAAGGATTTTTATTTGTTCTGTTTCCTTTCTTTTTAATTTTAGTTTTTTTTTGTAATCTAAGAGTTTAGTAATGGACGTTTAGATATTAGATTTTGAGTTTTAATAGTCGAATTTAGTATTTATTTGTGCTTTATCGTTTGTTATTATTAGTAATAATAACACATTTTTATATCTTGGTTTAGTTATTGCATTTGGATTTGTTGAATTAGTGATACGTCGTGGTTGTACATCGAATTTGCTATATTGGTGGATTTTTAACTTAATTAAAATTGATTAGTGGTTTACTCTTTGTTGAAAAAAAGTGATTAGTAATAACGACTAATGAGATCAGCAACGTGTGCGTTTGTAAAGACACATGTCTTCGTGTCCAAGAACGGTGAATTTGTCGTGTATTGGTAGTGGCAAAAAACAAATAACAGGTGGTTTGTTTCTCTGTCTGATTCTCCTTTATTTTTACACTTTTTTCAATACATTTGAAATTACAAAAGTTGAACAAGTCTGTTATATTATTAGCGAGATTAATCACTTCTTAATCTGGAATTGGAAAATGGATTAAAAAGTCTTTGGTTTGGTCAGAAAAGGTTAGAGTAGAGTAGGTGTAACGTGGAAACAGCTGTAAGAAAATTCATAGGCTTTTCTTCAGGTTTCTTAAATTTGCTCAGCCATGTGGCCTTTCTACGTATGTTTAATTAGTTAATTACTAAACTAAGGTGAAAGAAATCAAAACAATATAAATCATTCAAAAAGTCTAATGAAACGCGTCTCCTTCTAGACGAAGCCTGAGAATTTTTAACCGAACCGATCTGAACCAAATCTGAATATTATTGAAATCTGTTCGGTTTGAAATTCTAAACTAGTAGACATGAATTAAAATCGGATTGGACCTTATTGGTTCCGTCGGGCTCGATCTGTCGGATTTGTTTTTTTTTTATAAGAAAAATTCAAACTGATTTATACCGAATTATTCAAAAATATATTTAAATATTGATTCGAAGAATCGAACCAAACTGAATTAACTGAATATAATTGAAACTATCTGATTTTAATTGATAATTATAAACGAAAAGATAAAAATTTTGATTAGAAAAAAATATTAGAACTAACTAATAACCGGATCTGTCGAAAAAAAAAAACTAATAACCGGACCGTATTTTTGTTAATTACAGTACAATTTTTAAGAACAAAACTCATCAAAAACCGAGAAAACTAGACCGGTTTGGTTTCATAACTGAATTTCCAGACTTATAAAATACCGTCATTTCCAGGGTTTTATTTATTTATTATGTGGCCAAAGGAATCAAAAAGAGTAAAAAATAAGAAAAAGGCAAAAAAGTTTATGACACTGTTCCTTTAAAAAGGAAAAGCTGGAGGGCATAGCATCCAATAGCTGTGAATCGGATTCGCATTTTGATGATTCATTCCCTCCCAAATATTATTCAACTTATGTTATGTGTTTCACTAGGATTTTTGTACATATATAACATTTCTATATATGTACAAAACTTCTTCGGAACCGTTTTCTCTCTCACTACTCCTGGGTGATTGGCACAACCACCGGATTTCTGTGATTTCTCAGGTCGACGTCGGCTGTACTTTTCTCTCTTCTCTGTTATTCAGTTTGTTAATTTTAGAATAAAACTCATGCTTTTCCTTTCTCTCGTGAGAGAGTATTCATGCAATTATTGCATTTCCTTTCTCTTCTATTAAGAATTTGATCAAGTCCGATGCTAATTCTTAATCTCAGTTAGCGATTTTGAATCTAGATTGATTGAATCTTCGACTAGTTCTTAAACTAATATTCGATCTAAGAACTCAAACGCAATTTGTTCACCCAGTTCCCTCTCGGTACATCTGGGAGTGGAACTAAACCACCATGCTTGCACTATATATCAAATCTCCAGATACAAGTGTCTAACAAGCTGTTTATTCGATACAGCTATCTTCTAAGCAAGCTCGCGGAGAAGAATCAACGAGAGTTTGAATCAGAACAAGAACCCGGAGTCTTCAAGACAAACCGTCGCCGGAGACACCGCACTGAGCAACCGTAATCGAATCACCGACGATCACCGAGAATCTTCTCAAGCTTCTCTCTCTTGCTATGTTCTCTACTTTCTCTCTCTTTTCTGTTATTAATTTTTTCACGTGACGAAGACGAAGTTGACCGTTGTTGCCTATTTATGGACTCAATTCCTTCTCGGGCTTTTAATCGAAACGCGTGGCCCAAACTAACGATGTAACAAACTCAGCCCAATTAATGTGTGAAGTCCAAAACGACAACATCTTCACAAATCTCCACCTTTGTCGTTGACCTGTCTTCTCACATCAACCCTGGCCGCAATATTCCCGACCAAAATATGAAAGACTCTTCAACTTCTCCAACTTCTCCGACTACTGTTCACCTCGAAGACCTTGAGTCAATACTGATTACCGCAGGAGCTCCACCTTCTTCACCGTCATTGACGCTTCCGCCTCCACCAGCACCCATTGACTTCAGTTCTGAACCAAGTAAGTAACATTCCTGAAATGATACTAACCAAACGATTCACGAGTCTCAAACGACTCTAACCATTCCAACTGACAACTTTTACCAGCACCAGAAGAAATGAGAGAATATGATGCGCTTCCACCATGTGCAAGGTAAACCCCTTTGCACACTAAGCTCTAAAATGTCTGACTTTACTCTTACCAGTGAAGTCGGAAAACCTTGTTGATTAAGATACCGAGAAACTAACACAGCTCCTCTGATTTTATACTCTGTGAGATGACACAACCAACAGAACCATCTCCGAGTATGCCTGCAGGCGATCAGGCGACGACTTTGAGAGTTACGAGGCACTTCTCGAAAGAATTTCCAGGTAAACTCTTAGTCAACATGTCAGCTGGGTTTAGAGTAGTATGAATCTTGTAGATTTGAATCAGGCCTTCTTCCAATATGTCTCGAATGAAATGAATCTTAGTAGCAACATGTTTGGTCCTGTCATGATGAACCGAGTTCCTAGCCAAATTAATAGCACTCTGAGAATCACCATTCAGCTTAAAAGACTCAAAACTGAAACCCAACTCATTGCAAAACTCTCTTAACCATAACCCTTCCTTTGTAGCCTCTGACATAGCCATGTACTCAGCCTCTGTGGTTGATAAATCCACCACATGCTGTAAAGTATATCTCCAGCTAACCGTGTTTCCACCAACTTGAAACACATAACCTGTAACCGACCTGCGCTTGTCAAGATCAGTTGCATAATCTGAATCACTAAAACCTTCTATTTCCATCTTCTCGGCCTTAGTGAAATTTAGGCAAACATCAGTTGCTCCTTGTAGATACCGCAGAATCCATTTAACAGCTGCCCAATGATCTCTTCCTGGCTTTGACATAAATCGACTTACTAAACACACTACAAATCCCAAGTCTGGCCGTGAACCGATCATAGCGTACATTAAGCTCCCCACTGCACTAGCATAAGGGATCTTATCCATGAACTCACCTTCAGTAGCTAACTCTTTGTCACTTAAACTGCGAAGCTTAAATGAACAATTTGTAGGAGTAATCACATGCTTACATCCATCCATGTTAAACGTTTTCAAAACTTGTTTAAGATACCTCGCTTGAGACAACTTGAGAATGCCCTTCTTTCTGTCCCTTATGATCTCCATCCCCAAGATCATGTTAGCTGGACCTAGATCCTTCATTTCAAATTCAGAACTCAGACTATTTTTAAGAACTTGAACCTTCTTTATGTCCTTTGCCGTCTACATAGAGGAGTAGATAAATGCTATCTTCAACCTTTGATCCCTAGTAGTATACACACGGATCCTTAACGCTTCGTTTAAAACCCTGGGACCTGATGAACTCGTTGAACCGTTGATTCCACTGCCTTGGTGACTGTTTTAGCCCATATAACGACCGTTTCAGTAAGCAAACTTTACCCTTTTGACCTTTCTGAATAAACCCCTCAGGGTGTTCCATGTAGATAGTCTCTTCTAATCTCCCATTCAGAAACGCAGTCTTAACATCCAGCTGTTCCAATTCCATGTCATAATTGACCACCATAGAGAGCATTATCCGAATAGAGACATGCTTGACTACTGAAGAAAAAATCTCGTTGTAATCAATGCCTTCAACTTGTGTGAAATCTTTTGCTACAAGCCTTGCCTTGTATCTATCTGGTTCAGCACCTGGTATGCCTTCCTTAAGCTTAAAGATCCATTTAGACCCGACAATTCTTTTGTTTGGAGGTCGATCAACTATGTCCCATGTATGATTCTTGTCCAGGGACTGTTTTTCTTCTACCATAGCGCCATGCCATTTATCCTAGTCAACGCTTCTTCTAGCTTCTGAAACTGTTTTTGGTTCAACTAACTCGATTATTTCAGCACTAGCCAAAGCATATGCCACATAATCTTCACTTTCGAACATGGATGGTGGCTTTGGTATACGCCTTTCTCTGTCCCTTGCAAGCAAGTACCCATCCAAATTCTCAGTACTTTGTCCTGTCCCCGAATCTTGATCACCATCCGACTCAGTCTGATCTTCTGTCTGCGATGAATCAGATTCCTCCGAAATAGCTCCACCTTGACCTGTAGAGTCTGAACTTCCTAATCATGTGTCCCTGTTAGTTCTCAAACCTTGTGTCTTGGTTGGTCTAACAGGTTCAGAGTCTATTGAAACCCTTTCTTCCTCAGTAGCACTTGTACCATTTTCTGAACTAAGGTCCTTATATAGTCTGGTCTCATCAAAAATTACATCCCGACTGATTGTAGACTTCTGTTCATCAAGCAGCCACACTCTATAATCTTTTGTTCCTTGCGGATAACCCATGAAGATACCCTTCAAAGCCCTTAGGCTGATTTTATCTTGAATCTTGTGAACATAAGCAACACATCCGAATCTCTTTAGGTGACCATATCCGATCTTGTTTCCTGACCACATTTCCTCTGGAATCTTGAACTTTAGAGCTGCATTAGGTGTCCTTTTTATCAAGTAAACCGCTGTAGAAGCTGCCTCAGCCCAAAACTTCTTTTCCAAACCTGACTCAGCCAGCATACATCTGATCTTATCTGCTATGGTTCTATTCATCCTTTCCAAGACTCCATTCTGTTGAGGAGTATATGTACAAGTCCTATGTCTCCGAATACCAGATTCCTTGCATAGCTTGTCCATCTGAAGGTTGCAA